GCACAACGAACGGTTCGGTGGAAATGGTTCCGGACAAACTTGCAAGCGGCGTAGCTGCGTTGCGTGCACACAAGCTTTCAAGCAGCTGTCATTCCACCACTCCGTCTGTTGTTTGGTGCTCATTGGATGATGATGATGATATATGATGACACAACGAACTGTATCAATCGCACAATGCGTGCAAGAACATATCGTAGACAAGAACATATCGTAGAGGTCGTTCAATTTCGCGCTCATGAGGCAATTGGGTTGGGGTAGATGCTGTAAGGCATCCGAACTTGCATCACCCACTGTTGAATGCAAACCGCAGCTTTTTTCCCGCAACAGCATCTGCAGTCGACGGGCACCCGCGCCAAGCGCAGCGTGAAGCGGCTCGGGCCAAGGGGCTCAACTCAGCCCGAATTGCTCTTCGCAGCCTTTCCAATTTGCATGTGTGCCAGGCTGCACTGGGCGTTTCCGTATCGAGGGCATTGGTCCCACGCAGTATGAGTGAGCCTATGTAAGCCGCACTTTATCGCACGTGGATCCCAGATCCACTGTCTGACTGAGAGAACATTTACAACCTCTGTGATTGTGTGTTGGTTGGTGTTTTGCTTGTCTTTTTCTTAACATTTTCCGTCTGTCGCAAGTGGTTTGCGAAGGTCCATCGCAGCCTACGGCGAGCCTACGGCGAGCCTCCTGCAGCCCCGTGAGGTTGGCACCGGCAAACAGCTGGTCGTCAGCGGGAGGCTGCCCCCTACTCGCGCGCGACGCAAGCCTCACCAACGGGCGGAAGCTCAAGCAGGGAAGCCGCGTCGCGGCTACAGCTAGCATTCCGGACAACCTTTGCACCCAGCCTGCTCGCGCAGCCGCTATCAGCCGCCCGTAGCGGTGCTGCGACGCCCCGATTACGACGAGCCGCGCACGTCTGGCGTGCGCGAGCTCGGGGTAGCTTTGGCGCCGTTTGCGTGTGGCTGCGTTTTGCACGGTGGCCGCAGGGCGGGTGTCTGTGCCAGGCTGCGCGGAGCCGGTTCGGGTGAGGCTGCGGTAGAGCCACGAGCCGGGCAGTGCTGGGACATCGCGTGGCTCACACCGGACTTAACTCCGGCTTGACTTGAGCCGTGCGCTTGAAACCAGTCGCCACTGGTCGGCGGCCGCTCAATATTGCCGGGCTTTCACGGACTTGTCGGTAGTCTGGATGGTGGTTGGGTATGGAACTGCATGGTGTCCGTTCGGCCAGTGGGCGCGCGACGGCTCGAGTTGGCGTGGCAACTACAACAGCGACCATGAGCTTCTGACATCTTCTGATACAATACCGGCCGTGTTAGATGTTTTAGCTGGAATCTGAACCCTGACGATTGAAATTGTGGGCAGTTGAGAAGCATCTCCAAATGGCTAGCGGCGAGCCAGCTCTTCCTCATACTGCATGTTGACATCATAAGCTCAAGGGTCCTCTGTAGCAGCACGCCGAAGCTTTGTCTCCAGGTCGATCCTTCCACGTGGATTGCTGCCGGTTCTTCCTTGAAATTATCCCTAAGGGCACGACCCTTGAGCAGTCTCGCGGGATGCCTCAGCTATTGTGGAAGCACATTATTCGCCCTCACCGAGAACTCAGCAAGGTCCCCCCCAAGCCACCCGCTATGTCGGACAATGTCCGTGCAAGTACCTAGCAATGGCGTCTTACTAGACCGACGGCTGCGTCAGAGAAGCCCGAGGCCCGAGGCTCGTGCAAGCCGAGCCGGCATAGCAGGAGAGCGCCAGCGCAGCGTCCGCTTCCGGCATGACTTTGCATTGTCACCAAAACATGTATACGACGTATACGATGCATCTGTGAGGTATCTGTGGGGCAATACAAAGAACAATTGCACCGTCAACAACTTAAAGACAGCTTGTGCAGCAGCATACTGCTTTGAGTATCTCTTGAACTTCATGACGTGCATCATCTGCTGCTGAGCAACTGGACTCCTGGACGGAGGCAGCGCGCACAGAAAGCTACACGTGCAATCAGAAAGATATCATTGGGTAAACAGGGCCGTCTTGTAGGGCACATCCACGCGAACATGAAGGTGCGAAGAATCGGTATACTGATAAGCGCAACCAGAAGCCAGCGAGAGCAAGAATCAGATGTGACAAACCTGGCCATGAAGCGACATGTGTTTCAAACGGAGCAACAGGCGAACTCCAAGAGTCAAATGACTACAACCAACGGAGAGGTACAATCCTAGAATCCTAGAACCCGGGATATCTGCAGAGCATTTCAGAAGCAGCGAGGGATACTTGCAAATGTTGAAGATTAATTTTTCTTTTCAATCAATCCTACAATGTCCTACAAGACATGTAAGCACGAATTCACGGGATCAACTACACAGACGGCCAACATAAGCACACTCATTGGCGAAGCAGACAACGTCTTATTCTGATGGTACGATCATTCGAAGACGTTTCAAGCAAACAGAACAGAACCGCGGAACGACAATCTAGAGACATTTGGTAGGTGCCGCAAAGGCTAAACGCCAATTAATTTAAATAATTTTAAATACGAACTGCTACAACATTCCGCCTCCGCAAGCCAAAGCCCAAGAACAAGACATTGTCGAGATCTCTGCTTGTCACTGCCTTGCACCGGATCCATTCAAGAAACTCGATAGCTGACTTCTTCGATTCATGTAAGGCGATGTACAAACAAGCACCTACGACTTGCACGCGGCACCATAGCTACATTTGTATCGTATGATACTGCTGCTCAAGGCCTATGTACTGTAAAAGTGATACTTGTACCAGTTGACGGTGATGCTAATAAGCTTGAGGCAATGACTAGCCAGAGGTACGTGTTTTCTGAGCTTTCTTATTGCTCCCACAAACAAGAGCCTCGCCGTATATCTACGGGGCTCTGTATTTGGGTCTGTGGCATGTCGTGTCCGTGAGACGACGAGACTAGCCCCTGCAACACTGTCTTATCATGAACTACCAAAATCGCGTGATCCAGGTAGGCTCCGTTGAAGGCCTTCGTTCTCTACTCACCTTGCACGGTCAAGTCCTTTGACGTCCTGTTGCATGGTAGCATAACTCGAAGCAAGCTTCCATGGCACTGTGGAAACATCTGCTCCAAATACAGCAGCATGCATTGAGAATCAAACGATGGAAAACCACTCCCTGATACTGCAAGCTAGGAAATGCGATGGTGTGCTGCTCTTGAATTTGAGGAGGTGAAACGAGCAGTCTGTTGAGAGTGCTGCCTCCCTCATGCAGGTCTGTGCGGAGTGATGTGCAGAGCCATTTTCAGCTAAACAGAGCTGCTGCTTGCCCATGGCAAAGCGGACATCCCTTCAGGATGCATCAGCCTGACAGCACAGGCTCCAGGTGGGACACTGCTGCATTCACGCGGTATCGGGTGCCCGATACTAACAGTCCACGCCTCAAATTCGCTTCTTTGGAGCTGATTGCACCGAGCAACAGGACAGCCAACCCTCAGGTCATTTGAAAGGAGGCTGGCATGACAGTGTATAACCGTCTCTCTCACGTAACATGCGTGCTGTTGCCTGGGAAGCGTCTTCATTCGAAGAACGCTTGGGTGGCGAAGTCTTCTCTCGACACTCCTGCACCAAATTTCAGACGTTCCGTACTACAGTCAACTGCAGCCAGAACGCGCTCAGCCGGCAGATACGAGTTTTGCTGCTCCTAGCCCCACACGTAACCCCAGACCTCGAAATGTGTGATTTAAGACAATTGATGACATGTGCAGTCTGTACTTGCCCGGACATACTGTAAACATCTCCACACGTCATCGTGTCGACGTTCAGATTTACTATGATTTACTGCCATGAGGCAAGATACGAGGCGCAGCTTGCAGTGGATGCAGTAAATTTACATCTCTCGCTTCCAAGATCTTCCAAGAACATCCAAGATTGCTGCTTTCGAGAGCTTTGAGACTCGTGCTACAACTGCGGCCACAACTGCTTCACCATACGATGAAATGATTAAGCCAGTCAAACCATACATGATCATGAACGAACTACCGGCTGCAGAAGCTCCTCGAAGCTTGCCCGCACTGCGATCTCGTGTCTTCGCACTGCATCCTCCATGTGGACACTCGAGAGCAAATCGAAAGCGCGCTGCAGGCATTACCGGCCTGAGAGGAAGGAGCCGAGGTCTTCGCAGACCCCTGCACTGCTCACGCTCTCGTGACGTAACTTTGCATAAAGTTCTCCGAGGCACATGATGCGGCACGAAAATACAAACGCCAATAAGACTTTGCAGACGGCCAGACTTTGGAGCGCACCTCTCCTTTCCGCTGCTTTGACTTTTGCGCCTGTTCTCATCATGGCCAGTGGCAAGCTTGCCTGGATCCATTCTACGACCTGCTTGAGCTCCTTCTCCAAAGCCTGCATATCAGCTGTTCCCATGTCGCTAAGCAGTGCTTGTGCACACTTCCCACAGTTTGCCTCTATCTTTGAGCGGCTATGCTGCAACTCATCCTGATGACGCTTCATCTCCACCTGTGACATCACTGCAGTCAGGCCTAGCAACGACGTGCAAAATCCACCGGGAAACCTCGAAGATGTGGCACTGCAGACTCGACATTTCGTGCTCTCGTTTCGCCCTTTCCTGGCACAAACGACGACTCTGTTGAGGAGCTTTGTTTCGCGCAAGTTCGCGTTAGCCAACGAATCACGACTACAAATGTGTACAAATGCCTAGGTGTGACTGGGGGGCGCCTCAAGTTCCGCAGCACGCCTCTGCATCAGCGCCTGTGCAGTGCGGAGCAGTCTTGACCTTCACCTCGCCTCACCTTCTGCATCACTGAACGAATTCATTGGCAGAGCCACGCGACAGGGAACGCAGGAAAACTTCATCCATCCGAAACTGAAGCTTGGTGCACAGCAACTTTTTGCGCAGAAGCGGAGGTCAATCTTTGGACACTGACGCTTGGAAAAAGAAGTTGAAGGCTCATGCAAAAGCATGCTAAGTCGCTCCATGAGAAGCTGCAATTGGCTAGGAATACGACTTAAACCAGTCTCGGCTCACTCCTGCACCAGGTCGCATGGCCTGCTCGTGCAACACGGTTGCTGGCATCGTACGCACTACGAGTAGGCTGTAGTCAAATGGTGGCTAACTCGCCTTCTGCGACTGCGTAGAGCCGCCACGGCCGAAAGACAAAGCAGCATGCAAGCGCCTGGCCAATGTAGTTTGGCAGAATATACCGGATCTGCATCTGTGCCAATCGCCGTTTTGTTTGCGTAGTCTCCAGTCTACAGATTAAGCAACCGGGCTAGACAAGAGAACAGTTGACATGAATTCACATGCCAAGTTTCAGCCTGATACGTGCCACGAACCCGACGCCTTGCCCGATGAAGGCCAAAAAACCAATAGATGCACAACCCATTGCAACCCGGTACAAGCAGCAAACGACTTCATGTCGTTTCCCCACAGCAGGCCGCACCCGCCCGATTCAGCAGGGGTGGGGCCAGGCAAGGGTGGCTCTCCATTCTTCTCCTGAAACCCGGCTCGCAGCTCGTGCTCGCGCCAAGAAGGCTGCTCATATTATGAGTTCAAAAGGGGGTTTTAATTAAAACTCTATTAAGCAGAAAAGCGCCATACTCTGCCCCAGCCACATAAGTCCCTGTTCAGGATCCTTCCTGCTGAACCTTCGGAAGAAGAAAAACTACGAGTACAACCAACTGCATGCAGCCGAGAAGCAGAAAGTTGTAGCCGCCGTGGATTCCACGGAGCCGGGAAATCTTCGCAGGACTCCGCCGATGTAACAAGACACATGCACTCTGTTTCGACTTGGCATGCGCAGGGCTTGGTGGCTTGGCCTCCACATGCTGTCCGCCACTTTCTGCTCCAACTGCAAGTTCTCGCGTCCAACATACTGGCCTTTCCCAGCACATCTCTGAACTGGAGATCGAGGTTCCAACACTCTCTTACTCTTACAGCACCACAAGTTTCTGGTCAAGTTGCTCAGGATGTACCCGAAGACCTGGCAATCTTAAACGCCTCTGTTGCTGTGGGATCATGCATACCTTGGTCCCAAACCCGATCGAGGTCGAATGGAGCATCCAACAACCCAATGGACACAGGTCCAGCAGGATCAACCTTCAAAGCAGCGGTGAGCATGCATGGATACCTTCCGGTGACCATCATGCAGCTGTGCAAGCAGGCGTGGCCTGGGCATGTGGCTGCGTTCCACCACTTACCACTTCAGCTTTCCAGCAACCTTCACATATAGCTGAGTCATGGAACACTCAATAGTCAGGGATCCAATGGACCAGCTCTTTGCCACCTGGACAGTCTCGATATGCTGGCCACCGGCGGTCGACAACGGCCTGTTGAGCTCAAGTGAGCCAAGGAGCTTCGCATAGGTTGTTGGGATGGGATTAATTGCTTGTTAAGATCATCGGAGACGGAGCATACAAGTTCCAGAAGTCGAGGATTGAAGATCGCAGAGCTCTTCTCAAACCGAGATAACCTCGGCGCAAGTTGTGAATCGCAATCCTCCTGCCTGGCCCTCAGCGGGAAGATGCTCTTTCAGGACCCGCAGGGAAACTGCATTGTGGGTGCGCCAAAGCCACCACACCATCTGTCTTGCCTTCAAGGGCTTCGGTGTGGCCACAGACGTTCACAGGAAGTGAGACAGAGAGTCGCGACATGGGTGAAGTTGAGTTTTCGGTTCTGCTCGCTGCTTTTGGCGGAAACTTTGTCACAGACGAGGTTTCTCTGTGAAGGCTTCCCCACATCCACTGCCCCACCTTTCTGCTTTTCTCAAAGGAGGAGATGCCTTTTCTAGTATGTAGCCTGGTGATTGCTTCGAAAGCATACGTCTTGAGTCCTGGAGCCGCCTGATCGTCTGATCTCGGATCCAGCCTGTGTACAGCTACGCGGTAGTACCTTTAGTGCCGGATGTGCCCTGGATCCGCCTGGATCTTCATTGCTATAGTATTTCGGTCCTGGCTCCTTCCCGTTTTGCGGCTCATCCGACAAGCACAATCGTATGCTGACAAAATCTTTATGGTGGCAGTCTTCGTCCTCCTTTACGACTATTCTCGACTGGCTCTGCCTCGCAAGCCGATGCTGCTTCGCAGCGGTTGGTTGCTCCCTCCCAAGTGAAGTGGGTCAGGTCGATGATCGTTGGACATACATACATACACATACACACAGATTTCTGTACATATACATATAAATGTACATACACACATACATATACACAGACAAACACATATACAGAAACGTATACATCTTCAGATACAGATACATATACACATACAGAAAAGACACAAATACATACATACATACATACATACATACATACATACATACATACATACATACATACATACATACATACTACATACATCCATCCATCCATCCATGCATGCATGCACATACATACATTACGTTACGTTACATTACGTTAGTTACTTTACATTACATTACCTTACGTTACCTTACCTTACATTACATTACATTACACTACATTACAAACATTATATACACACATGCATCTGCAAGAGCATTTGTCATTAGCAGCGCAAGGTGCCACGGTCAGGCTCATACGTAGGCCGTGCCGGTAAGCATGTGATCGTGTTTTCGAGCTGCCGCTGACTTCTGATCCGCACCTACTTTGCGGCTGCAAACTGCAACAGCCCTCACAAACAACTATCCTTTGAGATTGCCCCCTTGCACCATATGCCATGTACATTCACTTACGAGTATCTTGCAGACACACCCAATCGTCATGAAGGATCTCTGGGCCTGCAGCTGCGCATCTGCTGCTTCGAGAACCAGGCAGCTCCCGTAGAAACATCCTTGATTTCAGGTCGACCAGATTTCCTTAAAAACCCGCTCATCTGCATGGCAAGGCACGTCAAAAAGCAAAGCAAAGCCAAAGTCAAGACTCTGTCGAAGGCTTCCAGGAAGTGCTGCCTGGCAGCAGCACACAATGTCAGGGCCTCCGAAACCCTGACGTTGTTCACCTGCAGCCCTCGCAAGTGAAGAACTCGCTGATGGCCAGGCGGAAGAAGCTCATCGCCTGGCCGTTTCACGACTTGGCCGAGCCGGAAAGCACCGTGGGGCGATGGCCTCGGGGACTGTTACTGTCCAAGAGCCATGTTGAGCCAGCGGCTGCCCAGTCACAGCCACCTTAAAGCGAAGTAATGAGTGAGGAGGGCTTTCACGAGTCACGATTCGCTGACTGGGTACCGGACAGCTGCAACTGAAGCAGCGACGACATGCAGTAGCTGCCAAACCTAAAGCAGAGCAAAGACAGGCAGAGCTCGTTGCAGCTGAGGCGTGACGATTGCGATAAGTTGACTGCTTTCACAGGCTGGCGGCAGCACATGTCTCATCTTCGCAGAAGACATGTTCTCTCTGCCCGAAGAGGCTCTCCCACTGCCACGTCAGGGAAATGGAGCGACAGCATTTTCTTTGAGGCCTGTCTCGGCCCTTGAACTCCCGCCCCAGGCCTTCTTCAGCATGCGGCGCATCTCCCACGGCTGGACTGGGCCACGATCCTGTATCTGCACTGCCTGAGCCGCTGCATGTTCATGGGTCAGGGATTGAAAATTTGAAGCACAGCAACACAATGGCAATGGCAAAATCGGATAAGAGGACGTGAGACAGCGCAGGCATCGCTGTAAACTGCTACCTTCTTACTCTGCCCAGTCACTAGGCTGTGGAAGTCAGCTGTGTGGCGTGGGAAGACCCGGGAGACGAAGCTAGTGATGCTAACCGCTGCAGGATGCTGCTGTGCACCGGAGTAGCCTCGACAAGCGGGCCAAAGATGCCGTCGGAAACCCAAAGGCCTAATCCCTGATCGAGCAAGAGGCCCTTGAGGAGCACCAGCAGCCCCAGTCGAGCTTCGACAAAGCGCTCGTCGTCGAGGTGATAGTCCATGGCCCAGCCTCCCCCCAGCGCTGCCCGGGTGCGGGGAGTAACAGGAACCCGCTTGGGGAGGAACGGAAACCATTTCTGGGGGTCGTAACAAGAACGAGGGCTAGTAGAAACAGGAGCCGCCCCGGTAACGTAACAGGAACTGTCCTAGGAAAGCCAAGCATATGTGATGTGCGGGGGACCGGTTTTCGGTCCCCTACTTTGACATCATGAAAACCTAATGCTGACGCTTATGATTCGTTCGAGGCATATAGAGTTTGGGTTTGAGACAGATTCACGGTTGGGGATATAGGATGCCAGTGGCAACCTACTCCTTGTCTCTCAAGCCACAAGTTGTTTCTTCATATTGATTTTGTTGAAGGAATAAGGATGTTTTATCTTACCAGAAGGAGGTTCGTACGAATGCAAGTCGAAGTTGTCGTACTACGAGCACGACTACTATTGGTGCCGGGGCTAGGATTTTGCACGCCATCGTGCACTGACCAGCGCCAGCTTGGCTTGTTTCCTGGGTTGAGAGTTTAGGCTTGCGGGTTTTAGGGCTGTCAGGTTCAAAGGTTCAGGCATTTGCCAGTCGAGAACGGCTTTAAGCGCCCGAGAACGGCTTTGGGGTTTCGGTCGCTCTTAGCGCCAGAAGTAGGACGAAGAAAGAAGTCACGAGACTACACACAGGAGCCTTCGTCATACGATCGTACACACAAGGCACGAAATTTCAGTTTCACTCGCAACAGACACATGCAATATCATGCAATGTTTTTCTGTTAGCAACACCGATGCTGGAGCCATCGGAAGTTCAGGACAAAGGTTGCTGTGGACATACGAGGTCAGTGTCTAGTGCTACATGACATGACGTTTTGAAGCCGTACAGGTGGGGGACCGGAAAGCGGTCCCTAAGTTGGCGAGCCCACAAGAGCAGGTGGATGTGAAACAAATCATTCTTGGAGCCAGCACTGGTTCCTGTTACGAGGGGCGGCCTGGGCGTGTTACAGTAACTGGTGGTTGCTGTTATGGGATCGGTCCCCGTTCCTGTTACGGGCTCCCGTTACGGGCATCCTGTTCCCATCACGGCAAACACTCAGCGCTACCCTGAGAGCTTCGGTCCGTTGCACGAGCGATGGAGCCTGTCTTACCAGGAGGCCCATCCACTGCCACGGCATGGCCCGCACGGAAGACCGCACCTCAGGCGCAGGCTCGAGGCCACCGCAGGACCAGAACAAACCAACTGGAATGTCATGAAAAGCCCTCCCGGCCTAATTTCAAGCTTTGAGGATGAGGTGGGGTCCACAAGCCGGATCGCTCTGAGAGCCACTGCACCAACTCCTGTGAAGATTTCTGGTGGCTATCCGTGAAGTGCGGCACGTCATACAGCAAGTCCAACGTTCCTTTGCCAACCTTGATTTAGACTATTAGAGGGTGCTTTCGGCGAATGCCAAGTACTGCCCAAGAAGCTTTGTAGGCCCGCAGCGTGGGATAGCGAAAGATTTGCATTGCATCACAAGCATCCACATTCTCAACGCAGTTGCAGGCAGCGACGCGCACGGTATCTGAGCCTTTGTACGCCTCTGCAACCTGCTGGAAAACGGGGGCGAAGTACCAGCAGTGCGGACACCCAGACGAGTAGTACTCCACTAACAAGGTGGTAAAGCCTCGCTCCACAATGCTCCCATGTAGTTGGCAGCTGGCTCCGCTGAGAATCGTGACAGGGCCGCCACTCGGATACAATGATTTTTGGGATCCGCTCTCGTACAAGTGAGGCCGCGGACTCCAAATGACATCACCCGATGGCTGTGATCCGCCTTGGCCGAAATACCAAGCCAGTGTGTGGCAGAAGCCCACAAAGCGAGCAGACATCCTTCCACAAGGACTATCGAGATACTCAGCGTCCTCTAAGCTGTTGCTGTTACATCGCGACTCCTTCGCGACTTGAGGATGGTGGTCCCTGTGAGCATGGTGAATACATTATGCAAAGATGCACACACGTACACGGACGTTGTGACGGTATACGACGGTTAGCAATGCTTCAGGCAGGAGCACGTGTTGAATGTGAATTCGAACTGAGTCCACACGTCTGCAGATCAGAAATGAAGTGGCCATGCAAGACAGGCTCCAGGTTCGTAGAAGCAGGGAATCCCGAGACATGCCTTGTTAGCCAGCGTCACCCCTAATCATCCTTCTGATGTGAATGCCAACAGAACCACGTGATCTCAAGCAAGGCTCATGGTGGCTTCTGCAGTTTGCCGAACTTGTTGTCAAAGTTCCCCCAACTTCCAATTCCGTGCCTCGCGCTCCTCCACTTCCTGAACCTTCGACTGCAGCATCGCCTAGCATCCCAAAGCTGCTGTTTCCGACCAGAAAGAGAGTCACTTAAAGCGCTGGCCCCGCTTGCGTCAAAGACGCGATGCTGGCCCTGGTGTTCTTATCATACTTGTGCCTGCTCACTGCTTGGGCATGCCGTTGTAGCTGGGCCATTGGGGAAGCTCGGCGATGGGTGCTGGGCATACGCTTGGGAAGACGGGCCTCACAAACTCTTGACTGCTGAACCTTCGGGACGCTAAGCAGTTGCTGCACATGTCATCACCCTGCTGGCCGTAGAACTTAGCCAACGAGCTTGTCCCTTGCCCATGTTGCATCTTGTGCCTGCTGCAGCCGCAGATCACTCTCTCCCACTGCCGCCTTCTGGACACGCTGAAGCTCTGACCTGTCAGAAAACAGACCCGTTGCATCACGAAACCTCCCGCCAACTTCAATGACGACTTGGCCTGGCATTTGCAAGCTCTGCTCGCAGCCGCTCTGCCTCGCGCCACAGATCACCAGTTCCACTAGGTCTGACCGTCGTTCCTCTCGCGAAAGGCCCCACCTCTCTGAACGGATCCCAAGACTTGGGGACAGCCTGCGCCGGTTCAAAAAAAATGCAGGCCTCTGACCGGTTCCAAAAAAAGAGAGAGAAACGTATGTGATGGCCTCGCCATCTTCGCAGGTGCCTTGGAGGAGCTCGTCGCCACACAGTGCTCAAATCGCGATTTGGCTACCGCATTACGAAAAGCTCCCTGCCCTGCATTTCTCGCATTGCCTCGGTGCATCCATGCACGGCCTGGTCTTCAATCTCAGATCGGCTGAGCAGCCCATAGCAGCCCTGACTGAGACACAGACAAGTTTTGGCAATCCTATCTGGCCGCCGTTCTTCTCCGCTATCCTTGTCTGGATTGCGCAAAGGCCCCGGCACATCTAGCTTCTGCTGAACATCGAAGCAGCAAGCGGAATAAGATCTGAACGCGCGCAAGTTGAGAATCACCTTGCTAGCAGAGTCCTGGCATCCCGTCCAGGAAGGATGTTTGGGCCAGGGGTTTCAGCAAGGCAGTCAAAGATGCAGTGGCCAAGGTCCTTGGGCCCTGAAACGTCCAAGACCCCCTCCTCGGAGCGCTGTGGACCTCACAGAAACGCCCGCGTGAGCGGAAGTTGATGGAAGTTGAAGACATTGAAGGGGCCCTAAACCCCAAGTGTGCACCAAGCCCTCAATGGCTTCGCCTGTGGAGTCCACTCCAAAAGTCTCATCTGCCTTTGCCAAAAGCCACATGCGCACTGGTTCTTTTCGCATCGGGCTGTTGCCTGTCCGAAGGCTTCGCTGAAGGCCTGGGAACCTCAAAGCCTATCTGCAGCCGGACGGTGAGGCCTCTAGCTTCTTAGAATTGCAAGCTTGTGAGTTCTGATGCGCAGAGGGAGTTCGACACTGAGTGTGCTGCCTGAGCAGAGCAAGTCCGACAATTAGCGACAAAAACATGACCAAATGCTGCAGGCAGGCGACTTGGCTGATTGTCCGAGCAAATTCAAGAGCAAACGTGTAATTTAGGGACACATGCGAGTGCTGTTTGTCAATAAAGTTCAGCGAGGCACATGCGCAAGCTCGTACAAGATCTCAACTTCTTATGTGCTCGGTCGGCCTGTGTCGCTGCTCCCGGGCTGGAGTTATAGCCTCAGGTTGCCACCCGGGGCTGAACATCCATATTATCACGTTTGAGTTGCTAGTGACGGCACGTCTGCAGTCTAAGCATTCCGGCATGTCGAAGATTCGCTGTCACCCTGGCCTCCTTGGGCTTCCGTCTCCTGCACTAAGACGCAACTGTTCTCCCGTGGACAGAAAAAATCCAGGCATTGCAAGCCGTGCTGTCGCACTGGGTCGCACCTGCACTTTTCCCTGGAAGGTGGTTCCGAAAAGTACTCATATGCCCGACCCGGCTGCTCATGAAATCCTGTCGTTGGCTCCGGTTGCACGGGCCGAGATGAGCTTGTCGACTTCTGCTGTACCGAGAGGGCTTGCCCTCTCTGACAGAAAACCCTGTCGCGTTTAAAGCAGAGATGAAACAACCACAAAAATAGTTACAAGGCAGGAGAATGTTCGAACGAATCGATCGAACGCACGTTGATCCCGCAAAGCACGAAAAGCGATTCGACTCACCCACTGCGATTCTTGTGGCTTCCATGCATGGGATGCTCTGTGACGCAAAGTGTCCTGGATTACAGCGTGTCAGGCAACACGTGCCGCACACAATCGCACACAGCACGATTTGGAAATTGGATTGGAGCAGCGGCTGTCACCACCCAGGCTGCAAAAAATGACGCTGCCACAAAGGCCTCGAACTGAACGGAAACTACTCCCGTGTGTAGCCTCACTGTTTCACCTGTAGCTTCTTCACTCTTGCCACGATGAGGCCAATCTGAGTCTGAACTTAGACCTGCTGCATCCCTTGGCTTGGTGTCCTTCTTCGGGGTCTCCATGCCGCAGACCTGGCCCTGGCCGTGCCTGGCGGTGGCGGTCAGGGACTCGAAACAAGCCGTCGTTAGAGAAAGGGAAAGGGATCGGCGCACCAGCGGCCAGGCAATTGCGGCGCCAGAGCTACCCACGACCGGATCAAGTCGGACCAAAATGCAAAATGGGAAAACGATTGGCAGAGCTGGATGAGTTTGAACATGCAGTGCGAAGCGTACCAGAGCCATTGCAAGCATTTTTCACGGACCACTTTGACATGCTGCTACAGTTCCCCGCTCCATGCCCTCAGAGTCAACGTGTTCCGGTAGTTCAAAGTCCTCACCTTGCAACATTCCAACAGTCGCAGGAATGCAGAAGCAACTCTCTTCTGTCCGCCCGGCCTGATTCACCCCTGCAGGTGCATGCCAAGCCAGGCCCGTGCATTAAGGCCTGCATTAGGGCGGGCACAAGATGTTTGATGACATACACATGTGCTGCATGCTTGCATCATGCACATCGAGGAAACCTGAACATGTTCGAAGCACATGCCTGGGATTTGCCATTGACGAAGAAGAGACATGAATGCCGGCCTGCCACTCGACTGAGCATGCTGACCAGGCAATACGGTAGCCTTCGTCTGCTTGCCGTTTAGACGTCCAACCACCACCAGAGAGGCAACTGGCCCCACCTCCCCACCTGCCTATCCCGTGTCCAAGCCTCATCAATGATCAAGTCCGCAGAGAGAGAATTGTCGACCTGCTCAATGCTGGGTACATCAACAGAGGTGAGGCTGCCTTGCATCTACGCCGCCACACAGTACATGCTGGATGTGTGGCACACCATGGAAAGGGTTGGTACGATACAGTGGGTACTTCTCTCCTCCCGCAGTGCCTGCAGAGCTGCGCTGAACAAACAAAACAAAGCGATGCAATCAAATGACTGTGAGAATCACATGTCATGTCGAAAATTTCGGATCCTGCGAGAGCCTGGGGACTGCATTGGACTACATCCCTGCTACACAGCTTCTGTATCTGACCAGGCTGCATTAACAGGACGAAACCCTGTTCGGTCCCTGACCGCGGTGTACAGTGCTTCCAATCCATGCCGTCACTCTCCAACCGCACGCTTGAACAGCGCCACTAGGGCTCCGCCTCCTCTCCTGCATCAGTGGTTTGACCTGGGACGTTTGCCAAGGAACTCGCTCGCAGGCGCAAGCACTTGTCTCTGCCTCTTTGTGAACATGGCATCATTATTCTCCATGCTTATGCGTTGGATCAGTGGGCTCTCAGCAGGGAACAAAGTTGCTGGCGGCAGCTCTTCCCTTAGTCTGCCGTCCGCGGAAGGTATGAAACGCAGTTTACCAAAGTGCACGACACACAGATTGAACAGCGCACAAGCCATCTTCTCCCAAAAGTCTGGTACAGTAATTTTACTGTCGCCAAAGAACGCAGGCAGAGGCGCAGCGCATTTCCCACCAACGGGCGGCTCAGCTCCTGCGCAGATCGCAGATCTGTAGATATCTGCAGACAGCAGCAGCTTCCCTCCGTTTAGCTCACTTGGCATCTACGCCTTCGCCGAGGCTTACGGAAGAAGCTTGGGAGCACTTCCTCTCACGCTCTGCCATCTCCACTCACAGAAGAAAATACGATTTGCGATCCACCACAGTCGCTCCAGGCGGACAGAGGCGGCATGAGACCTGAGGACAACCCGAAGCACAGCAATCCAGCGCTTTCCACCGGTGGTCAGGTCAGCCGGGTCACCACTGTTGCCCCAATGCGAGCTGGGAAGTGCCCATTGACCCAGCCGTGTGGGACAGAAGAACGACACAGCAGCCTGTCAGCGCACAGCTTGAACTGAACAACGGTCTGTAGCATGCTGTCACCATACGAGCCTGTCATGGCAAGCTGGCGTAGCACCCGCCAGCTCCAAGTCAAGCGCCACCTGGAGACATTGGGCTTCCTCTGTAGACTCCACGACTTACTAGTATGTTATAGAAGATTCGGGGCCCTCTGGGGTGCCTTGGGCAAGGGTCTAGAGCAGCCAGTGGGGCAGGCCAGTGGGGCAGGCCTGGGCTGAGAGAAGTTGGCCCATTGCGCGGCTGGGGGGCCTTGGCGTCGAGGCACTGTCCCGTACCTGCAGGCCCTCGACTCAAGCCCGTTGTTAAAATGAAAGCGGTTGCTGGATGTTGCTGGCAATGGCCACTCGGAAATTGAAATTCAGGCGAGCAAAACCCCAATCACTGGGGTGGTTTGCGAAAATCCAACATAATCAAGGATTTCTGAAATTTGCGATTTTGTGCTCGGAAACCCGAGAAAAATAAGCCCAAACAGAAGTAGAAATGTGTGCACAGTTTTTGGCTTGCGGCTCTGCTCGGCTAGATAAAATCCTTCCTACAAGCGGAGGAGGGACCTTACATATGCTTTTTGTGGGTGTAAACCTGAAATCGACAATAAGCGATTGAAACCGTCCCCAAGCGTCCTTGTGCAGGATGAAAACAGAATGAAAGAGGGGGGGATGGGGGGGCAGATTCGAAATGATTCGAACCTGAAAAGCACGGGAGTAACCGTCCTTAAGCCTCCCCTGAAAGTCTGGCCAGAACAATGAGAATAAAGCATGCATTGCAAATACAGGAGACACCGTCCCGAAACGCTCTCACAATTTCTGACCACGAACCAGGCGGATGGCGGATAAAAAGTGACAATGGGAACTACTGAACTACTGCAGGAACGTGGGAAAATTCAAAACCATGCACAACCCAAGTCGAACCCACGTGTCGATGCGGGAGTCGACCTACACTATGCCCTGCCACGGAAAAGCGTGTCCACTCCACCAGCTCACCCAGACAAAAGGAGGTTCTGAAATCTAGATAGTCTCTTCCAAACCCATCGTTCGAGTGTTTACGAATCGAGTGGGTGGGGGGCTGCGCTACCCCCAACCACCGAATACCGACAAAGAGGCCAACATGCCTATGTTTTTGGCTGCTTTGGGGCGCGATGGGACAGCCCAAGCGCAGTCCAAACAAAGACCAGTGAACTGTGCCACAGATGGGCTCCCCCAAACCCGAAAATCAGCCAAGAGGACTGTGCTTTGCCCAACCCCCCCTCCTCGAGCCGAACGGCAAAGTTAGTGTTCGTTGCAAAGGCCCGAAATGACCAACAATCTGCAACTCAGCCAAAATACCTATGGTGTGGCTACTGCAGAAACCTGACAGGGCTTAAAGATCAACAAGATTGGCTATCCGGCGGCTGGCCCGGACGCGAAAATTAAGCCGAAATACCTATCTTGTCCACTCGTTGGTGCTGTCGCATCAAAAATACTTGAATTGTGCCATTAAGGGTTCCCGAAACCAGAAAAGATCCGCAATAATGCCTATGGCTTCGTTCATTGCATGTGCTTGGAGAGTGCCCAAAATGATCGAAGATCACTGAAAGTTGCTCTTCGGCGCACACAAGGTTCTCGGGTGGTTCCCGAGACCCGATTACTCTTCGATGCTTGTGCACACACGAATGGACCACTGGAATTGCCATTTGGAATTCCCAACCCGAGAACTGCGCCAAAGGTTGGTTCAAGTTATCTGCTTTGGGGATGCCTAAAATGATCAAACAAAACTTACTTTTTCCGTCGGGCACGCATGGAGTTGTTGGGGAAGCCCCACGTAATGTTCAGTCATGAATTCTTGCGAGCAGGCAAATCGCAAATATCCCAAATCCGATGTTTAGAAAAAGCCTGTGTCTGCCCTTTTTGGGTGCTTTGCAAAACACGGCGGCTCCACCAACGTACCTGTGTCTTGGCTACTTGTTGGCTGGTTCAAAATCCAACAACATCTGCCCTTGGCAAAAGCTGCCTACGAGCTCGAGACGCTGCATTCACTCAGAATTGAAGCGCATGAAACAGCCGTCAGACACAGCTTCGTCAGCAGCGAACATTACTGCCACGACTACTGACAACACGAAGACTACTGAAGTACTAGGACTACTACGAGGGCGAGGCCTATACCCCCAGCCTAGCCCTCAGTGTCAATATATAATTCGGAAACCATACTGGCTGCTTTAAGAGTCCACGTGTGACAATCTGGACAGGGTGGGCTGTCGCGATCTGAGACTCGAAAGCTTGCTTAACCTTGACAACTCCTGATATGCACGGATCATGATTCTTATGATGGTCTGAATCAAGAGTTGCATCATATCTTTTAAATTCTAAAGCACCGAGTTCGAAATTTTTGTAGGACTTCTGAGTCTCCATCACTAGATGTTCATCTCGGGCTTATTGTTCTGCATATGCTATTGCTCGATCCTTCGACTGAGCAGTAGAGAAATAGACGTCCAAACCAAGGATGCTGCAACCTTCTGGAACGGTGTGGCACAAGTCACATGTTCACACTCTCCAGGCCTGTGCGACCAACTTGTTGCAGACGTGAACGGCGACAGCAGCACGCTCAGACCATCCAGCACCATCTGGCAACTCCAGGCATCGATTTTGAGCACTCTCGCATAGGCAGAACCTGGCCAAGCTCGCCAAGCCGGGCATGGACTCCGGCCGTGCTAGCGCGTGGGTCATGAGTCTGGCAAAGGCCTCGGAGCCCTAAACCAGGACTGCCGGCTCGCCGGGATAAGATCCATGGTTGCGTCAGCATGCACTGCCTCTTTCGCTGTTGGTAATCCTGCAAGACTGAAACTCGACCAAGGATCTGTAAAGTCTGCCATGTTAGAGATGCGAATCTTCTCCAACAGTATCTCCACAGTCTCATTCGCCTTACACGAAATTTACTCAGCAGATTTACTTGTCCACGAGTCACTTGGCTCAGTTGCTCTATCGCAAGCCTGGCCTCTTCTCGCGCCAGTGCAAGACTCTGCAACCGTCTAGCCAGAATTGCAGGAGGGTCCTGTGAATGTCCACAATTTGTACACCGTACTACACAGTGTGTACAGTCTGCCAGCTTGACAGACTGCCCGCCTTGTTCGTGAGGTAGTGGACCGCAATGCCGGTGGAAGCTGCATGCGTTGCAAGGCAGAGACCCAGCTGAGTTTTGCCTGTGCATAGCAGCTGCAGTGCCAGACAGCTAACTGACTCTGGTCGCGGTCCGTTTTTGCAGCCGGGTGGACCAACTGCCCTGGACATGTCGCGCACGCCGCGTTGGCCGTTCCTGCGCCCGGAGCGCCGTAGATTTCAGCAACTTCTCCAGGCCAGAGGCCCCCTGACCGCCGAGATCCGCCACGAAAAAATCATCAGATGTCGAATCTTCAAATTTTCCACGGGGGCCTCCCAGAAGGCGGTCGGCCTGGCTTCCCAAGCCAGAGGGTCGAGGCACAGCGAAGACCTGGCGCTCGGCTCACAGTCAGAGCGGCCGCTTGGAAAGCGGGTCACTACTGCGGTCACCTCGTCAAGAGGCACAGCCACCTCGCTTTCAGCGCCTTCCTGCACGGCCGCATTTCCACATGGACAAAACGAGCGGTGAGATGCGTGTTCTCTCCTCGAATACGCCCAGCAGAACATCGGCTGTGATCAGTCGCGGCTTTTCATCCTGCCGCACATCAAGCAGCCCAATCCAGGGGAGCCATGAATGAGAGTGCAGACTTACAGCACCATCGGGCTGTCCTGCCATGCCTCGGCCAATATCTTGTCGCAGCACTCCCAGCTTTCCAAGTTTCCACGTCTCGCCATGAGTTTGAGGCTCGTGTGTTAGGACCTTCTTGCAGAAGCTCACCTATATCTCCTTTCAAGCACAGCCGCACAATCAGCAAGCAGTAGCTGCACACAAACCTTACGTTTGAAGGTTGACATGCTCGCGACTACTTCTATGCTTGCAGCTAGGGGACGGCTGCGAGCCCGACAGCGAACAGGAACATTTGCCGCTTGTTGATAGTTTGAATGCAGACCAGAGCATTCATGTTCGAGCTGTTGGCAGAAGAACTGCGAGACTTAGTGTAGTGAAATGCGTAGCTTGTCGTGGCGGGAGGTGTGTTGACAGCCCTTGCAGCACCCTTTCTCAAGGTCTCACTATCTAAGTGAGTGAAGAGGAGCAGCAACTTGGTTTTGGAGTGCGCAGAATGTCCATCATGCGGCATCGTGCGTCTCAAGTCCTTTGGACACAGATTAGGGCCCATGAGGCCTGTCAAGCCCTCAGGGAATTCGATGGCCCTACGTTCGATCATCAGCTTGCGCACTGCCCTGCAACCACACGGAACTCACAAAGATAACTCTACTTCGACGAATCCCATCTTCAACACTATGCTGGGCTGCCCTCGTGGACAAGCGGCAGCATGGAAGTTCAAATGGCGTCGACCCTATGCACAGGCAGCTGCCTTTGTCGGAGATCAAGTATAGTATAGCCGGACACGACTAGACCTGAGACCTTTCACATCATGCTGGATCGAAGGTCCTGACTCCTTCAGAGGCACTGCAGAACTTCAGCCTTCGGCTGCTCAAGGGCACACTGCTGACGACACATGATTAGCAATAGCGATCAATAGCACGTGACTCTGGCACTGCGAAGGACACAATCGCTAGTATTTTATATGCATCAATGTCCCTTGCGTAATGACACGCACGGCGCGTGTATATCCTCCTCACTAGTTCTGGAGCTGCCTGGGCACTTGCAAGAATGCTTCGAATGATCTGGCGACGCATGCGACGCTGCATGTCACAAGAATGCAATCGAAGGTGATGTCGCACGTCTTTCCCCGCGCAGGAAGTGACGCAGGCTTCGGAGGACCTTGCCACCAGTCCTGAGCCTGAGCAACGCAAGGATGAGCCAGTCGAGGTTTGAGCCCTCAACACTCTGAAGCCGTGCGCGCCGGCGTGGCAGGCTCTTCCTTTGCTCACTGTAATTAAAGCGGCATCTGGAATCGAACATTAAAAAGTTGTCGCTGCAAATCACATGCATTGCATGGATGAAGGTCAGTGCACCCACTAACAGCATTGTGGCCGATGTGGGACGGGTCATTATCCGACTTGACATGGTGCAATTCAGAAATGCACGAAGTCGTATTCCTCTTCCTGCGCAGGGTCATCTCAAGGGCAGTGCAGAACCGCCGGCTTCGAGTGCCGCCTTCACGCCATCGTCGTCGGTCGTCATGGCTGCACGCACTGAGGCATCGATCGAGTCCGGGAGCCTCGCTGCAGCAATGAGCACTTGCTTTGCTTCGGCTCAGTCTCAGGGCCGTGCCCTCTCAAGCGCCCCAGGATCATTGTGAACACCAGCAGGAGCTGTGAGGCTTCGCCTGGATACTTCGCCACTGCAAGGCGGAATGAAGAGCGCCCTTGTTCCGGGGCAAGGCTCAGGTTCGTTTATCAGATGTTGGGAGAAGTATCGCCACGCAAGATTGAGGGGGCAGGGACGAACATGTTCTCTGAAATGCACAACCTGAACCCCACCGGAAGCATGTGAGGGTGCCGAGTATGACATGACAACAGGCCCCGACTCACATCCACACTGCTGGGGCTGGGGCTCCAAACACCACTAAAGGAGAATGTCTGATTCCTGCCATTGGACTGAATCGACAGACTGCACTAACTCACTGCACTCGCCAGCAGCGCTCGTATCCGAGGCTGAGCCCGCAAGTGCCATACGCCGAGAGCAACTCGAACAGAACCTGCGCCATTGCCAGCTGACATACAAGTCCCGTGCCAAGGCCTTGCGCGAAACCAAATACAGCTCTGCAGGGAGCCTTGAAGAACCCAAAGTCTGTGTAGATGCCATCGCTGTCAGGCGATGGGTCTTTGGCTGCCCTGGCAACACAAAGTCTGGTAAACTGAATCAGGATAGGCTAGAAACAATCGCTACTCGTATCATGTGAAATAGCACAGTATGCTTCACCCTTGCGCAATAGCAGGTTCTGTTGTCCGCGTGCTTGCTTCTGTCATACGGGCCTGGCGAAATTTCTCTGCTCGAAGCAACAGATCAGAAAGCAAATTACCTGGGCCATGGGTTACTAGTTGCTGATGACCGGGGCAGCTTGATACGAAGAGTGGAGAACTCGGGCAGAGACCACGAGGTATGTAGCATCTTGGGTTAAGTATCTTCGTGCCTGGCAACAAGCTGACTCAGGTAGTGGCTGATCCTTTCCAAGCTGACATGAACCAAGCGAACCAAGCCTGGCCCTTCAACGAGTTCTCAGATCCAGTCAAGACCGTCTCCTCAACACCTTCGACACGTCCGGTGATGTCAAGCTCATGCCTCGTACAGCGAACATGCTCGTCCGCCGTGTTGCAGCAATCCCCTTTCTCAGGATTAGCCAAGTTGTTCCGCGCAAGCAATACGACTGTGAGGGATGGGCTAGTACTGAATTTCGGAGATTGGCAGGCGGCATCGACAATTTTGACGCTGCGTCATGAGAACATTCGCGGACGATAGAATGCAAACCGACACACCTTCGAGGAGCCCGGCATGAAAAAAGTACAGACAAGATACGTCGCCGCTGAGAGCCGCATTGTAACAACCTTTGTTTTCGAATCGATCGCATAAATAGGCCAGAAGCACTCGGCATCATTTGTGTTCAGAAGACAAGGGCGAAGCCGTGGGCGTCGTGGAAAAGTACATCCTGGCATGGCTTTCCGGCATCGACCGCAACTGTAGTTTTAACCACGTGAGCAAGGAGCATCACAGCCATGAAGAAGGTTGTGCCCTGCGAGAGCCTTGGATCAGCACAGGCACCGCAACAAACTGAAACCGAAGCCTCGACCGTCCGAAGAGTTAGTGCAGCTCGGCAGCTGTGCGATGTTGATCGAATTCATTCCTGCACGTCATGTACTCAGGATTCTGTCTGTGCAACCGCTATCCCAGCTGCCTGCCGTGCGTGTCGAGACCGTCTGGAAACTGAGCACGAAAGAGCAAATGCAGGCTCAATAAGTCAACCTGATATTCACTATGTGGTCTACACCCTCGAGCAGCACCTGAAACCCTGATGCAGTCTGAGTACCCGTATGTCGTACGTTTGTACGTCGGTCCAGTCACACGACAAGGAACAACCAACCGGCCGTCCAGAAAAGGAGCTCTGAGAGTGCCAAGACCAAGTCGAAAGAGTATTCGATGATCCCCACAAATAAAACACAATGTTCGTCGTGGTTGACCCATCCTGCGAAATCAAGACATTACATCTCACGCTGCTCCAGCAGACATAACAAGCGGACTGACCATCTTGCTGTCGCTCAAAACGTGCAACTTCGCTCCCGGAGAGCGAGCTTAGATCGACACTCGTACAACACCTGAGGTCGGAACAAGGCGTTGCCCAAGATTTCATGGGCATGCAGCCCCTTGAAAGCCGGGCTGTGGAAGTCCTGAACATCTGCACTCAAGTCCGTCCCCGACTTTCACAAGACTGCCGGGTGACCGTGAGCGGCACCTGGATCAATATCACGATCGTCCCCAGAACGTTGAGGCCAACGACGACCAGCATCAGCCACATAGTGTGGACAGCCGGGAACATGTGCCTGGCTCGCAGTTGTTCGCAGCAATCAACTTGCCTTGGAGGGCTCTGCGGCTTAAGTCCAGGCCAGGAGGGCGTGAAACACCGACGCGGATGCTCCATGAGAAAATCCAGGACCTTTCTCGTCTCAGAATGGGGCCTCATGGATGGACATGCGCCGACACGCCACGAAGGAAGGAGTTTGCCCAGGGGGCCGTGCCGCGTGCTTCGTCTCCAGATCGCCGCAATCAGCCGGACCTGGCTCTAAAGGCAGATTACGACATCTCAGTGTCCATTGGCATATTGCAACTAGAGACATGGCAAACTCCGCAGGTTGGTCAGGGTTCGAACCCTGAGAGAGATACTGGACTTCACAAGGGTCGCAGCGAAGGCACATTTCGAAAAAAAGGACCACAGTGCACAGCTGGACCCGTGTTGAAACCTTTGGACGTTGCCTCGCAGGAGCAAGAGGACCCGGTGGACTCATGCTGCTATCGGGCAATGCCTTGCAAACCGTGCATCGAGGATACTGCCCGCTTTCTACGCAACTGCTCATTTGAAGCTGGGGTGCAACCTTAACCATCCGTACCCCGGAGTCCCAAAATTCGATTTCTCGAAACTTAGCAAGAAACGCAGGGCACCTAGCAAGACGCTTTTAACCACGCAAACTTGACATTGTGCACCCCCCTCCCCGCCAGCAACTGCCTTCCTGTCCTAGTTGTAGCCACAGAAATCCGTAAGATGTAACGCAAGCCGCACGACATGGCGGCGACGCCATGATCGGGAGCCCTGTGTTTCCCAAGATGATCAGGGCCTGAGGAGCAGGGCCGAGGAGTGGGTGAGTATGGTGAGTTAACTTAGGGTGCGCCCGCTTGACAACTTGCACCTGAAGGTGTGACAATGGGTTGAAACTGAGATCGCTTCCCCGATGGTGGTGAGAAGGATTGGGCTCCTCACGAAATCCTCAGCAGCATCGCCAAGTTTTGCACTTGTTGCATCGACATGCCAGCAGAAGATACTAGACCGCTCGCCTATGACCCTCACATGGAACCACGACATGATGGATGAGAGCGATCTGAATGTGACACGGGCCACCACAACTACTGCTTCCCTAGTGAGTTCCGGACCATGACTGATGACGGCGTCATGACCTCGCTGCTCAAGGTTTTCCGTCCTACACTTCGACTTGCGAATACTTGTCAGAGACCAAGATGTCCTTGGAACCAATTTCGGAACCCCGGAGGCTTCCAGCATCTTCCAGCACTGAAAGACGACTGTGACAGGGATCCCGGCCAAACCATTGTTCTGAAAGCTGGACACGGACAGATACAAGGCCTGGGATGTCGAAGGCTGGGACTCAGATTGTTTACAGTCGTTTGCCAAGAACAAGCTTTGGTCGGGCCATCCACATGGTTCGCATGTTCGGTCTAAGCGGCGTGGTGCATGGGGCGGAGCCCTTCTTCACGGAACTTGTCCTGCAAGGAAACACACATGCTCGCATCACTCGCATCGCGTGACACGGACTCCTCGATCTCGCCGTGCCCCAGCTTGAAATACAGGTAGAAGACCAAAGTTCCCAGCGCATGGCAAACAAACCTTGGCACTGCAAGGGACTTGGAGTAGGCAAGCACTCTGACAGATGACGACTTGCCATGTGAGGGAACTCGTGCTGCAAAGGGGCCAATATCCGAGCACAATCTTCAGCACTTTCCCAAGCGCCTGAACGAATGACTCGATGCGGCCTTTCGCGACCGCATCGACACAGGACTGCCGGCCTTGTACTCCATCCGATGCTTTCTCGCAAGTGCTCTGCTGCAGGTGCCCCTTGAACTTTGGAAATCGATTGGCTAATGGCTTACCCTCAACAACGACTCAAGACTTGCAAGTGATGTGCCTTTGCTGGCAGTGGCTGCTTGCACTCTGAGGCCGCATCTTTCTGGGTGCCCCAGGAACGCCATCCTAAAAAAGAACATCAAACAGCATGCAACGGCCTGCTCTGCCGACTCGTGGCTCCTCGATAGAGACCTGTCTCGGCGCCTGCGCCAACAGCTTTGCTGGCTTTGCACTTTTGGTAACTTCTCGGTAAGCTTCGCACCCATCGTACTGCTCCCTGTGCATGGCCATCATGGTTGATCTGATGAACATAGGTCTCCTTGGCGATAACCCAAGAGAGGATACTGCACATCTGGAAATGGGATAAGCTCACCCTGAGCTTCAAGCCGGAACAACTGGATCAGAGCGTGAGCGTGGCCTTACAAATTAGCCGCGGTCTTCGAAAGCGTTGATGTGCGTGCAAACTGGGATAAAGTGGGTGTTGCAGAAGCTTGAAGGTGAACTTATCATTCAATCTGAAACTCCCCTTCTTAAGGCGCCGGCAGACTCATCAGCTTTCCAGATGACAGTATCCTGCAGCTCGAGAAAATGGCGGCATGTGCTACCATGCTACCACGACGATGTTGTGCTGGCAGGATAAAGTCCTGCTCTGGCGCTCGTGCTCCTGCACAAGGAGACCAAACTACAGTCGAGACACAAAGTGTGGATCAGAGAAACCTTAACATTATATGCGGCTGCATCAAGCCTCCTGGAACTTCTGCCATGAAGCCATCTTGGCTTGCATTCGGAAGGAGCTCTGCCTGACACAAGGGGGACTCTGCGGGAAGCTCGCCTCATTTCGTGGACCGGCGCTTTTTTTACTCCACAGCACACGTGCCCTTGCACGGTCTGAACGTAGCATGCCTTGACCCGGAGCTAGGCAATCCTGATGAAGAGAAGGCCAGCACTGTGCTGGCTTTCAGGAAAAATTTGCAAGGTCGTGCATGACCGATTGTGATTAGCTGGCCGCTGGCATCATGCTGATCAAGAAGCATGCCGGTTCTCCAACACAACACAGATCATCTGGAATGTTCACGGCTTGATGCCGAAGAGTGCAGAGACAAAATTGTGCAAGGTCGTGCATGAGCGACTGAGATTAGCTGGCCGCTGGCATCATGCTGATCAAGAAGCATGCAGGTGCTCCAACACAACACAGATCATCTGGAATGTTCACGGCTTGATGCCGAAGAGACCCATGAATAGGTGAAACATGCGACGCAGGACAATTGGGGGGCACTCTTTCGTGTTGCATCGAGACGCTCGCATGGACAGCCCTGGGCAAGGGCCTCGGACACACCAGTTCTGGGAGGTCTCAACACACGAATTGCCATGGGGTTTTGTTCACTCCCTCTTCGCGTGCTTGTTCACATCTTCTTGCTGCTCAAGTGAGTATCGGTCCTGACATCAGGTAACGACCTGTGGCTGCCCAGCACACTCACTGCTTGGTCTTGGCGCCTCCTGGTCGCGCACGTACGCAAACCAGAGGCCACCCGTGAGCACCAGCAAAACTCCCAGCAAACGCGAAACGGTCATGGCCTAGGATCGCGAAACACTCGACATGCTGGCTTTGCCCTCATATGCAGGCATGCCAGGAGCAGCATGAGAAATCACCCTCGGAAGAAAGCTAACAGGCTGAGACGAGGACGGTGCCCTGCATCCAAAAGCCCGCGACGATTACGATGCACAAGCGCCTGCAGAGAGATGTCGGTCAGTTTGCGGGGGCTGGCACTCTAAATAGTCGATCTTGCTGTCCAAACTGTGTCCCAGCTTAAACTGCAGAACCCTACTTGCCTCAATGTGTCAATCACGGCGAAACTAAGCGGACGAAAGCTTTGCAAAGCTGCAAAGGATGCACTCTGCTCGATGAAATACAGCACGCCATCCTCGGACGCTAGGAACTGACATCTCGCTACGCCCTTGCAAAACTGCCTCCAGTCTACAGTCTCAGGCGCTTCAAGTCACCCCGTGTACCCAGTTTCGCTGTCGCACCATGAAGAACTGCGGAGACGGTGTCCCCAGCAAGATTCAAGAATACAAACAGCTGCTGCTCCGTTTGCAGTGAGGGTGATCACATGTCAGCGGTGAACGGAGAAAAGCGAAGCTCTTAAACACGACACACACACACACATTCGATGGAGCATCTGACAGTGAAGTTGTTGGCGGCAGCTGATGTGTCTGCATAATCGTGCTGTCGTCACACGAAGCACAAGCTTTGCTGGCTGTAGACGTACTAGGGCCCGGTCTGTTGCTGCCAAGAAGAGGATTCGATTTCGAACCCTGGGTACCGCTGGGATGATTGAAGACAAAACTCCTTGACGGGGTTAATGCACTGAGCCGGGTGCTCATCTGTAGCCGAAGCTATGTGACCTTGCGTGGGAGACCAAGAGCAGACAAGAAAGCAGAAGATCAGAGTCCAAGCACGATGCCCCCAAGGCGCTCAGGTCCGCCGCCCAGAAGCCTCGGTAGCAATTTGCAACGTAAGCACTGGCACCTACAACAACATCCGGCTTAGCCTTTGGCCAGATCGGCAGCAGAAAGACAAGTGCGAAAAGGGATGAGGCGAACTGCAGCTCAAACCTTCCGCACATGAGGGACTTCCGTCACTGGAGGATGCATTCTTGTGCTGAGCTCTTTACGCATGAGGTGGCTTCGTCTTCTTGGCGCAGTCTTGAGCCTTCAAGCGTGAACATTGATTCACAACAGATAGCAGTTGCTTCTCGGGGTTATCACGAGTAACTCCAAGGTTACCGACAGTGTCTTAACCATCTGAGGCAGCGTCTTGGGCCAGTTGGCGTTTGCCCAGCAAGTTCACGGCAACCTCGCGACAACAGTCAACCGCCTTCTGCCCTAGCCCCTAGGGCTTGCCGCTGACAAAGCCGCTCTAGGAATCAGGCCTGAGCATTTGCAGACATCAGCGCGGCCAAAACTCCCTGCTCGAGGCATCGTGCAGGCCATCAACTACCAAATGAACCGAACACGAACAGTCTGTTAAAGGGGGTAGTTTCAAAGTCCTCTTGCCTGTGGTCTCGTGAAGCCATGTGGCTCAGCGCCCACAGCCAGTGCGAAGCCTCCAAGTCGTTTTCACATGTCAAGAGTCAAGAGATAAAGCCTCTGCGGCGCCTCCAACCAACGGAAGCAGGCTGCACATCACGGGTAAGCTGTAGCTCTGCCCGAGAATTCCTGTGATTGCAACGACCCAGACCTCAGGAAGAATACTCCAATCATCTCTCGTGGCCCGCTGCAAAGCAAACATGGTCTAGGACACAAGCCGGATTCGTTGCCCGGATGGTTTGGGCCAGAGATGTTGGGATAAACTGCAGGCCATACACGAAGCTCCTGCGCACTTTGTCGCCGATCCATGCCGCATGCCGGGACTCATACGACAAGTGTGACGTCTCTGCTGGTTGGCTTGGCTTCCGAAGTTTCATTCTTGAAGGAGCCAAAGAAGCAAAACTCTGTACAGGTCAAGTGCAAGCAGCTGTCCTGCAGTTGCACAGATGGAAGCCGCCCATGGCCAGCGACCCTGGAAGAGCCGCTGCTCCTGGAGAGCAGGCCGAAGGCATCATGCCGACACATCTCGCATGAGCTCTCTAGCCAGGACAAGCTAGAAAGTTGTGCCGGTGGCCCCTTTGTCACCTCCCGGAAGGAGTCGGAGACCTCGTGGAGGGAGCGTCAGGATGCCTCGGTCCGGGGCCACCCAGGCTGGGACCCACCCGCATGGCGACTCCAAGAGGCGAGGCACCGCTGAGAACCATGACCAAAAGCTCCAGGACCGTCATGTCCTCACCGGAAAGGTTGAAATCCCTAGACCTCCCCTAGACCCTGGCAGATCCTAGCAGTAGAGTGCTCTTAGTCTTCGAGTCTTCACCTCTGCATCCGGAAGATGGCGAAGCAGCATCGAGGCAGTGATGTTGAAGACAATGCTGCTGCCGAACCTGACAAGGAGCAACTGACTAGAGGCGTCACCAGCGAGTAGGCAAGGGAGAAAAGCAAAGCTCCACACCACAACACGACGATCGCCTCAAGCAGCGGCCAAAATCAGCAAGAACTTCACGGGGGACTGCAGACATCATTCAGCATTTCTCAGGGTCTCACCAGCAACCCGAAGGAGTGGCCGTTTGCCGCCTCGTCAATACTCGACTCCATCACAGGAATGCATGAGTCCTGAAACCGAGCCCAGATGCATCATCGTGGGCCACACTGCTAGTCTTCACAGTCTTTTTCTGCTGTGCAACCTCCAAGTCACAAGTAAACACTTTGCTGCGATGGAACACTGATGAACACTTCGCTAGAGGGGTGGGCCTCAGACAGATCAATCGGCTGGCGATCAACGGCCATGGTGCATACGAAGCTTTGCGCGATGTCGTCCACCAACACTGTCGAAAGAGCTAGTCATGAAATTGTCTCTGACTGCAGACAGACATCCTGCATTCCACCCATGGTTGCTCTGGGTCAAGCCAATCGCGCTGCAGACAAGTGGAATGAACAACAAGCTCGAGACCGCACGGAGGTGAGACAGCGTCAGCGCGACATGCAAACACTTGCAAAATATATATATATATGTAACAACATCGCCCATAGCGAATGCAGCCTGCACATTAGCCCGTTCCCTACAGCAGCGCGGGCCTAAGAAGTACGGGCATCAAGTGAAGCAGGGACGCCGAGCCCAACAAGATGAGAAAGAAGCTGGCATTTCATTGACAGGAGCTTGCAAGTCTTGTCATGACTAAAGGAAGACATCCGGCAGAGGACCTGATAATGTAGGTGCGAGCCGACTGCTTGGACCAGTCCTCGCTGCTTCACAGGATAGGGCTTTGCCTGCAAACTTGAATCTGAGACTGCTGCCACCACGGCTAGCCCACTCTGGGAAACACAGCTCGCTGAAGTGTACAGCGCTTGTGCGAAGCTGAATTTGCCTGCCGTAGACGCTGCCGTAGACGCTCCCTTTCGTTCGGGCTGTGCAAACCAATCGAGCCGCCTCCTGGCTCGTACCAAAAGAGCACGGCTCCAAAGAGGATGATCAAGACCTGACAAATATCCATCGAACTTTGGGTTCATAGCGCAAAGGCCCTCGTGTGACAGTCGCATGGGTGAAGCCGAAGCGTATCCACGTGTGACTGACAGAAGCACACGCTAGCACACATCATCACTACATGCCTTCATGGGCAGACCACTGGGGCAGGCGCAATGTATGCTGCATAGCACCTGAGGAATTATGCACATGCCTGTTACTTGAGTTAAAGTGACAAAGCACGTTCCGGGAGCCCTCATGAATCTCAAACAACGGCAGGAAAAGGCGAAGGAAGGACAACAGGATGGCACATATGGCTCAACACCCATGCATGCGCATGCCTCTGTGTGTGTGTGTATGTATGTATGTATGTATGTATGTATGTATGTATATATATACATATATATATATACACATATATCCGCCGATGTGGGGGCGAGCGCCGGGGAAGCCGCTTGCATTGCAGGTCATCCCCCATCCTCCCCCAGCCCCTCTTTTAACCCTTCCCCATGCCCCTACCCTTACTACACATCCTGTACCTCCTTCAGCCTCCTGCTGTGCAAGCCTNNCCCCTCTCTAGCCCTCCGGTCCCCCTCCGGTGCTTACTCCGGTACTTACTCCCCGTGCCTTCCTCCCCGACCTCCTTCTTACCCCCACCTACCTCAAACAAACCTTGTTTCTTTCTCTTTGATTCAGCAGGTTCACTATGCCCTTTACTCCCCTAGTTAATATGCGTACCATACATACGTATTTGACTGTGCTATGCTCCAGTATGTACATTTGCATATACGTGCCTGTACTAACACAAAAAGACGATTTATGATTTTTTATGTCCAGGAAAGCACATGAACACATGAACAGGGTCGTAGCACAGGGCCAATGATCAGCACTATGCCAAGCTGCGAAACATGTGTCCACACAATGCATGTAACATGTTTACACTACAACAAGATGTACTACTCTGAACAAGATTCCATGTAGCAAAAACAAACCAGTTCCAAAATTGAGGTGACTCACGATGGCGCAATATATAGTCGACGATTTTAGGCGTGGGCAGACTAGAACCAGACAAAAAGTTGTCACATAGACTGCGAAAGATTAATCGCGGAAAATCTCGCACCTTGCGCGATATAGCTAAACCGTCATGGTACAGTGCCGAATCTGCACAACTCGTAGAACACCCGACAGAGCAAAACCGGCCATCGGGTGATCAAGGAGCACAACAACGGTTCAGGAGTCTCACAGGAGGGAGCAGAACCCAACCGGTAAACAACACAGACTCGAAGACACATCCAAAACTTAAAAACCCTTGTTGCGGAGAAGTCATTGACAAAGACTGAGACCCAAGACCACCATCTCCTATGTCTGGCATGTTTGGAATTTGTGATTTTGATTTTCGGCATGATATTGGCATATATTGGCAGTTTGGGTTTGGTGTCTCGGCTTCTGGTCTAAATTTGGTTCCTGTCGCTCACATATGCACCGGGACTTCTACGAGGTCAACCCTGGTCCGTTATCGTTCCAACACCCGTGAAGCCTCTCCAACCCTCCCCAAGAGTTGCCCTAGCAAATCCTAGGGGAGACCAAAGCCATCATCCAGAAAAGTGTTACGTCGATCCATGATTCATGATGCATTGCGGCTTGCTACTCGAATCCGCACTGCTTTTTCTGGTTTGGCATTCTGTAACGGATTCAAAGGGCTCCGCAAGTATCACCAAGCATGGCGCGGCCTTTCGTAACTAGTCTACCGGGTCTGTTCACTAGTCGTCGAGTCGACGGTGCTATCAAAACTTGCTATTGATATGCAATGTAGCAAAGGAGCCAAGCTGGCCGGCTCACAGCCTGACAAGACACCGTACAGACGACCCTCATGAATCCATGTCTTGTCCAAGCTAGCAGATGATTTGAGGAGTACTCGACACAGCTCCAACCTTCTCAGGTTTACAAAATCACGCAAACCCCCTTGTTCGAAACACACCTTAGTCCGAGTCTGTCTATCCTATGGGAAAGACAAGCAAGATCAGCTGTTGTGTTGATAAACATTTCATGGAAATTGAACAAGACGAATGTTGCAACACACGTGCGTCGAACCATCACATCTGAAGTAAACGAGAACATGTCTCCCATATCTAGAGCTTGACGACTGTCTATGTGCTTGCATGTACTTGAACATAGCTGATTGCTTGTACACATGAAGAGCCATGGGTTATCCGTCTGCAGGTCAAGTTTTTATGTTCGAACAAACGAGTCATCGGGGTAACACGGGGTAACACTTGTTTGGCCATATGATACCCAGCAGCCTGACTTGGTGCATTATCCCTTGGAGTCAGTGATAACCGCATGTAAACATAGTTCAGGACTAGAGAAAAAGCTGCAGCGTATAATGTCATGTCATGCTTGTTAAGAGTTCAATGAAAAAAGACTCTCGAAGGTCAAAAGCCGCACAGGATTCGGCCAGGACGCCAGTAGTACAACTCCTCGACGAAGAAGAGAAGCGAAACCTTCTGCTTTTTCTTCTGCACCTGACACTGCAGATCGATTTTCCAAGAATGACGCGGCACCACATACTCCAAGTCTGTAACAGTGTACCAATCGATGCCCATGTAGGCATACGCCTGTCCGTCGTGCATCAGCAAGGCACTGCTGAAGGAGACACAAAGCACACCTTGTGAGCTGAAAACACACTTGTCCCAACCACACCTTCCGGAAATCGGAAAACACCTGCATAGCTCGTGCAAGGAGACTCTCCAACCCATTCACATCACTCATCGGATTGCGCTGTCGGATCGCTACTGGTGGGCAGAAATCAGAGAGTGGAAGAGGAAAGACCGTGTGGAGTACTGCGAGCAACGTGGGAGCACGACTGAGAGATACCCGTGACGGCTAAAGGCTGGGGCACGACTACACTGCCGGCCCTTCGATCATGACAACACATGAACTGCATGTGCTTAAGATGCTTTAGGGTCCCCGCATTCCTCATGTTCCTTGCCACCGTCCTGAGCATGCAAAGATCGAAAACATGCGTTTCATTTCTAGATGCAACCCTTGGCAATGCAACTCTCCTTTCATCTACTCATACACTGAAAGACTGTCTGAAGTCCCTGACGGTGTGAGGTTGTCCAAGGTGTTGGCACGAACCTTGGAGGTAAAGACTGCAAACCGTAGCTCAAAAAACGGAACTACCAAGCAACAACTGCCACTAAAGCAAGCCGTGGGTTTCAGATCTCAGACTTTCACCAGCCTGCTGCTCGTGCCTCAAAGTCAAAGTCAATGAACTGCTCTGAAGGATTCGTTCAGACGCAGCGAGAGAGAGAGAGAGAGAGAGAGAGAGAGAGAGAGAGAACGAGAGAGCGCAGAGGTGCTTTTGGACGTGGCCTGTTTCCGGAGACGCTTCCTCTTGAGACCTTGCCGTGGCAGCTACACAGCTGTTCGGAATCCCTGTTGTCACATGCGCGATTCCTGAAACGACTCGCACAGCATTTTGAGATCCAGTCAGTTTGCTGAACAATTCAGGTTCCGGCATACGGGCAGAGCAGGACAGGTCTTCGTTAGACTGCTCTTTGCCACCTGTGGCACAAGGCAGGCGTAAACACAGAAACTCAAGCTGCCTAGGGGCATACTCTGGTGTAGTATGTGAGTCTCGGGATTCCGAATGGGAACTACGGAAAGACTGCATGCGCTGCGACATGACAGCGCAAGGCACCTGAAGATTGAGCAGATGGCTTCGGCCAAAGAGGCTCCAATGCCTTGGAAACTTTCGCGACAGTTGCAGCCGCTGGCACTGCTCTCCCATGCAGCTTATGCAGAACAATGAATGTGCCGGATTATGCCCCGTGACGGACCAACTCAAAAGCTCCCAGCATCTCGCTTCTCTGCCGCCATGTCCTCTTGATGGCGACAACCATTTCCCGAATAGCTTCCACAAGTGCAAGGAACCGCTATCGACAGTCCTGCACCTGAAGAACTGACGATGCCCGACGTGACACGTCCCTCCTGCGAAAGGCTTGCCGCAATCTTGATTCCTGGGCCTGGGGCCCCACCCCGCCTTTCTTCGCACAATCACGTGCTAAACTTGCAACAGTGTACAGGAGATCACCCCTGTTGGTTTTAGCTTGTTCAGCAGCCGTCCACATCCGGTGTTGCACGCCTTCGCTGCGTGTAATTCTGTCTGAAATGCTACGAGTGCGGTCGACTTCGGTACTGACACGCAGCATGCACATGCAACAGGACAAGACTCAAAGGAACTTCGGCACAACTGACTTCCAGGTCCTTTTGTTAAGAGAGCTCTCCCTGCTTCCCTCTCAACGCGCCTTGTGTTCGCCTCCGGGCTTTGTTGTGGCGGCGGCAGCATGGTGGGTGCCTGAGGCAAATTGGTGCGCAGGTCGCCCGCCGCTTCCCAGCGACTGCAAGCGACTGCAAGGCACTGCGAGGCCTTGCTGTCTTTTCTTTTGCCTGCATTGCCAGCACTGTAAATCTCGTGCCGTTCCTGCAGACTGCGAAGTTACCATGAACCCCAGTGATGCACAATGACATGAGACAGAGGCTCGCCCATTCGGCCATCAAGTACATCGTAACTACATGCATCTCGCTCCTCGCTCTGTTGCAGCAAGGCTTCTTGTGCAGTGATCAAGTGATCCTGACAGCGAAACGACATCTTGCATTCAGCTCCAAAAGCATACACAGGGCCTTCAGCTTCTGCCTAAGGCTGGGTATTTTCCAAACATTGAGGCTTCCAGACCTTGCAGCTGCGTTCACAAGCCGGCCACGCCCATGAAACCCTCCTCCAAGTACCGGACTTGTTACGCAACAAGGGGCTCGAAGACCTGGAGACAGATCTGCTTTCAGGTAGAAAAAAAAGACTGGTCCGTGTATTGGTCGTCGTGTCACTTGGTCCGTGTAAGCTGCAGACGCAGAACTCAGCTCATCACCTGCAGAGACATGGCATTGGAGCTTCTGCAGAGATCTGTCCAGGTGGGGCCTTCGCTGGCGGCCATTTAAAAGCCGGGGGCTTTGCCCAGCTCTATACAAGCCTCCACATTTCCTCAAGACCGGCTGCTTAATGATGGTTGCTGCGGGCTAGATCCTGCTTCAAGCAAGTCAGGATGCTGGACATGTAGGAAGGACGATTTCAAGCATTGCATCGGCGATACCGCTACACAAATAATACCTTTGCAAAAACGCGATGTCTACCGTTCGAATCTCATCCATTCGACGCTTTGAAGCTCTTTGAAGCCAAGAAGACAAAGCATCATGACGGCAAGGCTCGGATCAACATCAACGCGGCCACTGCCACACCGATTCCGAGGGCTGCGCTTTCGATCGAAGCATGCGCAAAACAAGTGGCCTCGGCCGATGCTACGAGCTACATTCTGTGTTTACTTCCAGGCCGGGGGCGTGGCATAAAATCATGTCATCCGGATGGACAGCCTTCGACTCAATAACGCTGCCCACCGGGTCCTGCCAAAGTCCCAGGGATGATTGAAACTCCTTTCACGGCTAGTCGTCGCAGTCAACCGGTTTAGGGAGCTTTCTGCACTGACCACTGACATCACACAACCTCTGCAAACTCGCCTCGTTGAGCCAAGGATCCTCCGATGACCAACAGGATGCAAGTCGAAACGCTTGCAGGGGGGTCTTTTTGATCTCCTGCTTCAGGAGATCGACCTGCTGCTCCGACAAGATTGGATTCGTTCGTGTTCGCGACCCACCTGAAGACGTGTTCTCGGACGACCGGCTGGCACCTAGACTGGCAAATCTCGAGAAAGGCTCGGGCTTGGCATTGGGGTGGTGCCCGCTGACGGCCTGCACAAGAGCACACATCATGACTCATGACTTGCCTTACTATTTCGGACCGATTGGCCTAAGGCTGCATGTCCGTTAACATCAGCACATATACAAGCCAGAACAAAAATCCACTGGTGTGCTGTAGAAGCTGCCGACCTAGAGGCCGATGATGACGAAGAACCTGCCCAGATCTTGAAGAAAAAATGAAACCGAAGTCACGGCGACTCTCCGCACCTTCCATCCAGACAGGGCGGACTTGGTCAGTCACCCCCCGACTCCAGACTGCTGTGAACCCACCAAGTAGAGGAGAGCTTGTCAGGAAGAAAACCACACGATGCAATCATCTTGGCAAGAACCCAATCATCGCCCTTGCAGGGCAATACGAATTGTCCCACCGTTTGCCCCTAAGGAAGATCGCATGTTCTCGCTGTTCGGTATGCATAAACAAAACAAGTTCTGCCGGCGTAGATCCCCAAACAATGACAGACACGGAGCACCGTCGCAGAGGCCTGACGGCAAACGAGGGGGGGCGGAACTCCAGCCTCATCTTTTTCAGACCTTAACAGCCTAAGTGACGCGAGTTTCACGCAATCACCTGGTTCTCAGCCCGGTATCGTGACGGAAAAAGCACTTCGAGGTGCTCCCACGACTTGTTTGCCTAGCTAGGCTCGCAGGGGCTTGCCCGAAGCACTTGCAACAAGTAGCCACGAAGCCATCTGGAATTGAACTGTGAATCTGGAACCAAGCACTGGCCGAGGCTTCATGGTAGCCAAGCAACGACAAGATTGGAGGGCGTCAAGGCACGCCCTTTGAATCGAGTCACTGTTTGGCCATCACGGAGCAATGTCAGCAAGATCTTTCCTTTCTGATTGCCGCACCAGGGTCTCGAAACTGACGGGATAACTAATACTCCTTGAAAGATCATGCTCGAAGATGCCCGAAGTTGAAGAAAGGCATGGATTACGGCTCGTACTTTCCTTGTCAGACTCTGACTAAGGCTGATCCTCAGGGATGTACGTTGAATACGTTGAACATGTTGCTTGCTCCAGCCTTGGTCATACTAAAGACGAAGGATCTGCAGGCAGCTTCGCTGCGCAGAACACGTCGGGGAACTGCAGCCATGTCTGCATCAATCATCCCACCTTGGTGCTGCACGTTGTGTTGCGCACCATCATCGCCAACATGCATACTGAAGTCAGGCTGAGTTTCGAGCTTGAGTGCGTTTGCAACATTGACCGAAAGGCCTCTAAACTGTGTGGCCTTGATCTTAGACACCTCAGGCGACGAGCTCAGAGAAACAGCAGACATTCCTGCAAGAGGGCAGAAAAGCCGGGACGGCCTCTGCCAATCGCTGAGCCCCAAGTTCGGCTCCAGCTTTGCAGAGGTTGGCAAATGACGCGTCGGTCTGGCCGCGACCGCGAGATGCCACGAGGACAAGAAGCCATGCAGGGAGTCTGGGACACCAAAGGCGCAGTACCAGCAAACAAGGCAGGAGACATTGAGGCGGCTTTCCCGTGTTTGACGAGCCTGGCATCACTCAACGAAAATCCATGATCTTTCATGACGCAGACGTCGGTGCCAATCTCTAGAGCACGGCAACACTTGCCAAACAAATCTAGCACGGCCTCGGCTTCAAGGTCCTGGTGATTGGTCAAGGTCTTGACGCTTTTGCCCGCCTTCTCCCTGCGACGGGCACCATTAGGCGGACACGGACACAAAGCTGGCAACTAGGCCTCGCTTTCTGCGTGTGCTCCGTTGGTCGCCGTGGCGTCCGATTCTCATCCTGTGCGAACATCCCCGCGAGGCACAGTCGGCACTTCCAAGCAAAGCTCTCCTGAATCTGGCCCGTGATCGGATTTCGGCCTGCACCTCCACCACAGCAAAACAGTCTTTCTTACCATTCTGCGGCAATCAAGATCCTTTTTGATAGTGACAAGCAGCATTGCCACGGAAGCCGCCAAGATTACCGTACAATTCACAACTACCCTTGTTCTTTCTCACGGCATATCTATACTGCAGCACAATTCTTTTAATCTCATTGTGGGTGTTTGAGTCTGCCCGTCTTAGGAAGTCACAGTGCGACATGTTCCTGCTGCCGCCGTAAGTGACCACTAGCATTCATGCCGTCGCTCCAAAATATACCAGTCGCAAACATGGCAGGCCACACCAGGCTCTGTTCTGCACTTGCTCCTCAAGATCGTTCAAGTCGGCGCCGTGTAGATGTGACCGGATCATGCAAACAAATCATAAACCTGCAGCTCATCCAGGAATAGCAGGTTTGTGGTCTCTAGCTCGCAGTCCGTGTGTTTTTGCCAGCGTGATTCGGCCTTAACTCCATGCGGTGTTAGCTTCGGCTAGCAAATGTGAGAATGCCGTCGCCGCAGTTGCTATTCCTGTTAAGGGCAGGCTGCGCTGGCACCGATTTGCCCATGCAAGGGGAAGTGTTTCCCTTCGGCTGTGTTTGGCAGCGGCTAGTAAGTGCGCTTCTGGTCACGGCTCTGACCGGTCACCGGCTGGTTGTGAGTGAGTACGTGCGAGAACACCCCCTTTGTAACTGTCCGCCCGCCACGCCGCGCGTTGGGTCTCCTTGGCGGTGTGGTTGCGGTTAGTAGTGCAAGGACTCCGCTTCTGGCCGTCTGTCTGGGCTTTCCCACTGCGGTGCTTGGCTTCGGTCAGTTAGTGCAAGATCGCCGCGGAGTTGTGCTTAAGTGGCTGCCTTGGACCCGTGTGGCACCAGGAATGATGCCTCATGAATTTGTCTGTGAAGGCACAAGGAAGCCCGGTAACCGCACGAGCCTAGACCTGCCGAGCCCACAACTGTGATGCAGTCGAGACACTGCTCGGCTTGTGCGGGCATGACCTGCGAGAAGTCTCCATCAGTTCAGATTATTACTACCCCATAGTCACATAGTTTCTCTGCAGGGCCCACATTGTAGGATCCACCATGTTCGCGGCACTCTGAGGAGCTTGCGTTGCACGGTACAACGCACGGCAACCTTCACCGCCGTAGGACAGTACTTCGAACCTGTCAGCTGTCGAGAAAGTATAGGTGCATTGAAGTTTCCCAAGAACTGACTGGCACAACAAGCAGCTGAAGCGTCCAACCTGTAGAGATCTTGATTCCAGTTGATGGATTGCCGATGGGATTCTGACGAATAGCCATACCGGAACTCACCTCTTGCCTGCAAGCACCCCCCCCCGAGCTCGTAAACATCTCACGACTTCCATCAGTCGAGCCTTCCTCTCCTTGAACAACCGATCGTGTGGATGTGGAGGATCCTCATCCTGAGTCATGCAGACTGCATTAATGGCATGAACCAAACAAGGAGAGAGATGGCCAGTAAGACGTCCTAAGCTGCGGACTCGGGGATTAAGCACATACGACGCACCGGAGCGAAGCAGAGTAGGGTTTCCACCCTGCCAGCACCGAGCTCATCTCTCAGCCATGCGGAAGAAGCACAACGCCTCTGGCGACTTTCTGATACCACCCTGGCATGTCAAGCAAAATCGCTGTGCCTGGTGGCTGAGGCAAAGCGAACTCAGCTTTCTCATGGCCTCGGCTGCTCGCCCGGTCCTCTTCGCAGCTTTCCACTGCTCCAAGGTTTCTTTGCTCACCCTGCCCTTCCGAGAGCGGGATAGAGTGGGATGTCGCAGGAACTGCGAACGGATTGCCACGACCTTGCGCTTCATACTCTGCTGGAAGAGTATCTCGTGATCATGAGCGCAGCCTGCACCAGGTGTGAATGGCCTTACTGCAATGTGCGCAAATACACTGGAGTCAGCTTCAGTTCCGCGGGCACCTTGAGCATACTCAAATGCCTGCAACTGCTATGAGCAACATGTCACGATCGCCGGTGCTTCGGACAGCGAGCCTTTCTGACACCAGGGCTATCCGCCTGCCCGTAGCAATGATTACCTCGGAAGTGGAGAACTGAGTAGCAAGCATTCGTAACGTACGCGCCGAGCCCGGCACTAGGAGCGAGTGGGTCCTCTTCTGATGCAGGCCATGTTGCAAAATGTTGAATGTTGACCTAGCACTGTCTAGCTTGTCAGACATTGCAATGATGCCGTCCGCCACGACGTTGTGAGTGCAGGCGTGCGTCGGCTGACCTCCGGCATCTGAGCACACGGACTGATTGCTGACCAAGAAAGGACAGTCTGCGACAGGAGAGCCTGCTGGATGCTGTTCCAGAGGCTGGTAGGTTGATAC